GCGTCTGCACATAATAATTAATCAAACTGAAGACTTCAGATAACAGGTTAACATCTCAAAGATGAATTTACCGTAAGAATTTTTTAATTTTTTTTTAAATTAAAAAATTGGAAAAAGGCCAAGGCCAACTTATACTCAAGGCCTGCCAGTGCGAAAATATTCTTTTGTGTTTTCGGTTGCCTGCGTGATATTCCTACTGACCGCAAGATGGCGCTACAATTCTGCTACACTTTGCGATGTTTACAAAAATCAGAAAAGTACCAACCAAAAACGAATTCTGTCTTGTTATATGCAAAGTTTAAAAACGATTAATCCATAGTAGTCAGAAATTGTTGATTTCTTATTAGTAAAAATATTTTAATTAGAAGGAAAGCATGGAATTTTAAGCTATCTCACCTTTTTTTTTTTTTTTTTCCACATAAACACCAGCTATTTGATCTCGATTTTAATTCCTGCTTTCATCTAGAACATGCGCTATTCTGAATTGTACGCATTACAACTATTTATTCTAATTTAAAGGTCATTCAGAGTATACACCTTATTTTTTAATTATTTATATAGTAAGAAGTTAACAGATAGCTTCAGATCATGTACTATTTCAATGAAAAATTTTCAAAATATTTCTATCGGCTGTACTGGGCCAAAAAATAATTTAGTATCCCTTATCAAAGATGTAATTAACATATTAATACACCGTGATCTAAAATTTATATATCTGTTTCCACGACATTGGAGTAAAAATATATTACTTAAAGAGATTAAAGTAAAAATATTACTTAAAGAGATTAAATTTTACATACTGAAGAACTTTTTTTAATTATTAAATAACTGTTTTTAGGAAATCTTAAACAATAAAAGTTTAAATAATGCAGATTTTGATCTCTGTGCAGTATTTGCATTGCAGATATTCAAAGACATTGTAAAATTATGAGTCAAAAAAAAAAAAAAAAAAAAAAAAGTCTTACTGTGGCATAGATTTTGAGTGAAACTCAAAACCAAAGTTGCTTTTTTGACTAATTTTAATATTACACAGGTGTGTTTCTCTACACTTTCATTTGTATTCTAAATTTCATTGATGTTAACATCAAGAAACTAGTAATTGAATTAAGTGCATTGCAGCAATTTACATTCTCAGGGGTAAAACCCACTGAACACTGGTAGTTCGGTCCGAGGTTCGAATCCCGCGAGCGAGCTGACTGCATGGGTGCTTTCGTGGTTTTCCCCATGTGTAACGTGTATACGAGCCAGTTTCCCTTAGAAAGTCCTCCGCGAAGGCATGCCTCCTCTTAGGCAGATAGCCCTCGAGGCTTTGCAATAATCACACACACCACCATTTTCAGTGTTAGAGAAACTTCAATTTTTCTAATGAAATTTTTGATAAAGCTATTAATCAAATCACTCTTTTTGTTATAAATAAAAGTGACACATCATAAAATATATTTTAACAGCACACAAAAAAAAATAATAACTGTCATAATCACAATATATACTTAAGAAAACGTTCAGTTCTGTATATCAAGGATAAAATTTGAAAACTTGCAATGGCTGAATATAAATAATATAACCATCACACATGCCCACAATATAAGTAGAATGAGGTATATACACAATTTGAGATGGATATGCATATACAGTTAGACAAAAAAGCAAGCTTATTTAAGTGTACCCCTTAAATATACAGCAGGTAGACATTTTTACCCACATACAAGATTAATCAGAATGAATGTGTTAATTCTATAGCTGGTAGTGTGACATACTGACATAGTTCAGTATCAAGAATAACATGTATACATGAAATAAAATTACCTGAATTTCACAAAATAATATTATCACTATTAAGCACACATATACATGAATGCCATCTTGATACATCTTGATACATGAATGCCATCTTGATACTCTCCCCTTCCACCCAACCACACGAGAGGACTTTCGGCTCGCCGCATATTTAGAGTGCCACCATGCCGCACCGACACTATACCTTCACAATCATTCCTTCTGCGGAATTCGAGCCTGGGACCCTCGGCACGGCAGTGAGCGACGATACCGGTAGTCTTAATTCGAGGTAATCTATTATGCTAGAAATACAATTATTTTTATTAGAAATTTCAATATCCTTACAAAGAAAATATATTATTTAGACACAAAGTAAAAGCGAAAGGCAGTTTATTAATTTTTATAAAGATGCAGACGGTAGAAAATAGTGAGCATATAACCGCTATATTTCGATACATACCGAAATACAGCGAATTTTTCAAGCGTAACCATAATTACAATTGATATGAGGTTTTTAATATTCCTTTTTTACAGGACTAAAAGTGACTCATTCTGTCAATTCAACAAAAAACCCACAAACGTACATGACTGAAATTCATGAAATAGGCTGCCATTTTCCCAGGAAAAGAGAGAGAAAGTATCTTGTAATATTTAAGAGATTTTTCTTCATAGTTATTAGGTACGTATGTTATTCCGGCATGTGCTGTAGTCCTTTTAAGTTGAAGGACTCTGGCTATGGTTGCATTGATTTCAGCTTGTAAAGAGAGTGGTAGTAACCCGGCTAAGATTCGGAGGGCATTCGTTGCAGTCGTAAACTCCGCCTCCGTATTTCTCCCGCCTTCGTAGTGTATTGGTCTGCATGCTGGGCGCGCAATCCAGAGGTCCGTGGTTCAATTCCCGGCGACGTCGTTGGTCATTTTTCATCTCTCCAGCTTCATAATGACCTAATAGCTCTACAGTGGTGTCCGAACTAAAATTGTGGTGTATGACGATTCTCCACACCCAGGATTTGGTGATTCGGTCCCCTAAAACCCCAGTCGCCCTTTAAAAGGGCGAGTATATAAGGTATTTCTCCCGTCTTCTTAGCGTGCCTTCGTGGTGTAGTGGTCTGCACGCTGGGCGCGTATTGCATAGGTACGCGGTTCGATTATCTGCTCATTTTTCATGACTCTGTAGAGTCATTAGGTTAATTGGAAGCAGAAAAGATGAAAAATATGCAATCGCCTTCGCCGGGAATCGAACCACGGACTCCTGGAATACCGGCCCAGCGTGCTACCGTTACACCACGAAGGCACGCTAGGGAAGTGGGAGAAATACCTTATAACTCTTGCTTCCAAAAATAAACCTAATGACTATACTTTAGGAAACTATATTTGACGAAAGATGCTTTGAACTATTTCAGGAATGATTTTTATTAGATGGTGACTGAAGCCCCAGTTGTAATTTACTCCCCACACTTAGCGAAAGTGATAGTGGATGCCTATTGATTTCATTTAACCTGAATTTAAAAAAACAAAAACAAAAACAAATGATGTTGCTTTGCATGCCACTGGCATCGGTCCGCTTTGTTGGGTCATTCATCTGTCCAGTCACGAATATAATCTGATAATGGAACTTACTTTCTGTTCCGGGTGGGTCCTTCGGTATGGCAATCAGCGTTACTGACTACAGTACCGCATGGAGGTTACAGTTCATTTCTAAATGAAATATTCGAAAAAATGTGCTCAGATTCCTGACATCTATTTCTGAGATTCTCCAAAGCACTTTAAATAATTTATTCTTTCGGTGACTGAATTGTCATTAATATGTGAATTATACCGAAGAGCAATATATGGGTTTGTATGTGTTAATTTTTTATATAACATGTTTTTTACTTCCTTGTATTAAGTAAAAAGGAAGTATTGTAATCGCGAAAAGTTTCAGGCAGCATATTTCAACGAAAATATCCATTTTGACCGCGATCGAATGCAATTTTAACGATGTTTTTTGCGTGATCTCTCTGTACGTAAGGACAGAATAAAATACTCTTTTCCTTCAAAAAAATTATAAAACTGCTTTAAAATTAATTCTGAAGAGAATTTTTCGTAGCGTCTGTACGAACTTATGTACGTACGTGCGTACGTACGTCGCATAACTCAAAAACGAGTAGTAGCCTCAGAACGTTGAAATTTTGTATATAGGACTGCTATAACATGTAGATGTGCACCTCGTATTTTGGTTGCAATCGGCCGCACCAAACGTATATAAATACTATATTTATATATATATCCACTTTGTTACTCGGCACAGTGATCTCAGTTTCTTTACTCTTATATGTTTGTAAATTGTATTTTTTTTTTCTTTAAAAATGATTATATTAGGTTGTTTTTATCTTCCGGTTAAGGATTTTATGCCTTTGGTAAATCTGTGTGCAATATTGTTAGAATTAGCAGCAATTTTAAAGTTGTTTAATTGCCGCTAAGCCTGTTTTTAATAGCGGCCATTGATGTTTACATTTGAAACAGGAGACTAGTGGATTGGTTGCCAATCTAGAGAAACTTAGCTTCGCAACAACAAAGATAACGCCTTCATTTATTATTGCCAATTAAATCATGCTTAATTCTTTCTGGAATTTTTTCGAGGAAAGAAGCGTTTGAGATTTACTTCGTAATTTTTAATACAGATATTTTGAATTTTTATGTATTTTTGCCTTCGCGCGAAGTGAGAACTGAATTAATTAAACGAGATATACTCAATCGTCTGTGAAAAACTGTTTCTTTTTTGTTTTGTTTTCTTAATTTCTTTTATACATCGTTCTAGCTTTATTATAGTATTTGAATAGAACATGTGGCAACGATTAGATAATTCTATTCTTTAAATGATATAAATTTTGTGCATTATGAGTTATAATATGAACGAAATATATAAGTTAACTGTTATATAATTATTGGATTATATAAAAGTTAACTTAGTTTCCGTTATATAATTATTATATATACGTTAGCTGTTATATAATTATTAATACTGTTAAGTGAATCTAGCGCCAGAGTGTCGCTATGGTAAACACATACTAGAGTGAATTTTAAAGAATGCATTTATTCTATTGTGGTTTATCCGCTGTCGGCGAAGTAGATTTAATTCAATTCAATAAGTTTAAATGAAATACAAGAAAAAATGCGTATAATGTAATATTCCAATACAAGGAAGTCATGTGGTGTACACATCAGATTTTTTAATCTTAACAGCAACTCACTCCAGCTGACCAGGAATCTTTAAGAGTTAGTCTTCTGGAGCAAGAGTCACCGTTCCTGTTGCATCATGTGGTTGGTGGTCGGAAATTGCACTCAAAGGATTTCAAGGGTGAGCAAGAAGTGGAAACGCTGAATGGCAACACCGTCCGCATCAACAGGTATAACCATGGGGTACGTCACATTTTATCTTTATTCTTTTTTAATAAAATTTGTTAGTAAAATTTAATAATATATAGTTCAGCAGTAGGTAACAGCTTAAAGCTTTACATAAAATTATAAAATAGAATCAGATTTTGTTACTTAAAAGCTTAAAAGCATTCTTTTAAAATTGTTTTTCCAACAAAACTCGTAAAGATCTAATCTTATTTTCTTTTAATGACAGTCATGGTAACAGGTTTCTTTTACCGCACTACATCTTCCCTTTCCAGAAGTTGTTTATTATACCATCTAAAGAACTGTACGTACTCTGACAGTTTTGGCTCTGAGAGATAAAATACACAAATTGGGCTCTTATTTATCATCTATCCGAATGAGTGACGTGAGAAGCCTTTTCCGAGTATTGAGTAGTAGGCAGGAGGGGTTATTGCCTGACTAGGATAATCAGGATAAAATTTTAGTTACTATTACTTATTTTTTAAGTAAAAAATACTCTCCTCGTAAAATTTTAGTAAATACTGCACTTCTTCATTGAGATAAAAAGAAATCCATATTGATGTCGCTAAGACGCTATTCTGCATAATTCTTAAAATCCGATTTGGATATATCAAACATTGCAATCTTATCGTATGTTTTTCTTTTTTTTTTTTCTAAAAAATTTTTAAACTAAAATATAATTTAAAAAATTGAAAAGCATGCTTTATTAAGATATTTCACTACAAAAATAAATAATTTTCATTACCAAGATTTCAAAAATTTTAAAGTATTAACAAAACGTTAAGAACATTAATTCTTTTTCAGAAGAGCACGAATAAGAGTGTTATTCTAGGATGCTTTTGCATACTACATTATATGTTTTTCCATTCGGCTCTGATTCCTGGATTTGAATACACGCGAACAGACAACATAAAGTTGACCATGGGAGAAGCATTGACTTTTCCAAATGCACTCCCTTGAGCTTTGTTAATAGTAACAGCAAACCTAAGTTTGATTGGAAACTTCAGTCTTTTAAAGTGAAATGGTAGGTCAGTGAGAAAGATTGGGATTCGAGGTTATAATAACAGTTTCCCCTTTTCCTACACCTGTTAAAATAGTGGCACCGATTATATTCTGCCCCAATTGTGTGATCCGAAGCCTCGTTCCATTACGCAGTAGAGGTGCATCTATATTTCGCATAAGCATAACCGGCACATTTAGTTTCAATTGAAGTTTATGGGAGGGTATACCTAATAGCTCTAGTAAAGTGTGTGTGTGTGATTATGGCAAAGCCTCGAGGGCTATCTGCCTAAGAGGAGAGATGCCTTCGTGGAGGACTTTCTAAGGGAAACTGACTCGTATACACGTTACACATGGAGAAAACCACGAAAACGCTCATGCAGCCAGCCCGTTCGCGGAATTCGAACCTCGGACCGAACTACCAGTGTTCAGTGACTCTTTATCGCTCGGCCGCTGGTGGGCGTTCTAGTAAAGAAAAAAACAAAAAGATATATCTCTCCTCTAAAATTAAAACAGATGTTGGTTAGGATCGTAGTAAAAAAAGTACTTAATATACAACTTATACAAAAAATTGTCTTACAAACGAAAAATAATTATTCGAAAAATGAAAACAATAAAAGTATTTCATAGAAAATATGCGATTTCAAATAATCATAACCGTTCCTTCTTCAGTTGTGACACTATAAACATTTCTCTGTGAGAAGACCTACTCTATAATACCAGTGCACTCTAACGTGTGACAGGCGTAATATTAAGTATAGTATGACATTCGTAGTTTCCTAAACAATTAACAGATGTTGCTATAAAAGGATGCAAAAAGTATATCAAAATTAAAATGTAAGTAATTTGTCAAGCTACAGTCATAAGTGAGTGGTACACACTATGCTCATGTTCTATAGCTTAAAATGATTGTCGTTGCATAAACATTAAATGTTGAAAGTTTCGTAACGATAAGTTAAACGATGTAAAAATTTGTCTGCGCGTGCAAATGCGTGGCTTAAACTACGCAAACATTTTATAAACTATATAACATTTTCTAATATTGGAAAAATCCCTTTAATAGGGAAAAACCCAACAAAGTAAGTAAAAAATGTAGGGGAAAAGTAGTTTTTAATTAATATTTCGGCTAATTAAAGTCGTACGAAGACATTTTATAGCCTATAACCTTTTCTAATATATCAAAAATATTTCTTGAAAATTTCATGATGATCGGTTAAGTAATTAAGGCGTAAAAGCGTAACAAACAAACACACAAACAAACTCACATTCGCATTTATAATATTAGTTAGGATAACCTTTTCTAATATATCAAAAATATTTCTTGAAAATTTCATGATGATCGGTTAAGTAATTAAGGCATGAAAGCGTAACAAACAAACAAACTCACATTCGCATTTATAATATTAATTAGGATAACCTTTTCTAATATATCGAAAATATTTCTTGAAACTTTCATGATGATCGCTTAAGTAATTAAGGCGTAAAAGTGTAACAAACAAACAAACAAACAAATACACAAACAAACTCACATTCGTATTTATAATATTAATTAGGATAACCTTTTGTAATATATCAAAAATATTTCTTGAAAATTTCATGATAATCGGTTAAGTAATTAAGGCGAGAAAGCGTAACAAACAAATTCACATTCGCATTTATAATATTAGTTAGAATTTTAATATATTTGAGAGAATTGCAGTATCAATGTAAATTCTGTAAATGGATGTGTCGGGATGATTAAAATTATTTTGCTTAGCATACTTTTAACTGAAAGTGTGATGTAAATAAATGAATTAGAAAATTATGCACTTTTTTTAATAGAACTATTAGGAAGAAATCGAAATGTATTCAAATACGTATAAATGCATTCCTGAAATACATCGTAAGGTATATGCTAATTTTATAACAGTTACTTAGTTTACCCTTCCTATCTCTTCTGGCTTCAGCTTACAATTCCTTACCAGAATGAGTTTTTAGAATCAAATGAGAAGGAAAAAGTATTTAAGTCAAAGTTCACTGACTTAAAGTGTAATTAACCCTTCTCGAGTTTACGTTTCTGTTCTTGAACTTAAATGATCATTCGCTTTAGTAGTTCACTAGGTTTCTCAACACTTAGTTTAGTAGAATAAAATGGAAGAATGCTACAACATTTAAAATATTTTATCGAGGTATAAATAATATATTAATTTTGCGTAAATATTATGTGTTTATTTTAATAATATTATTTTTTTATTTCAAAATAAACTAAATAACAAAATATTATCTGTCTTTCTATTTAGAGATAATATTTTGTCTCCGGACGTGTCTACTAATTACCTATCAAATTCTACAGTAAAAAAATAAGGGTAAAAGACTTACAGTTTTCAAAATTAAGTAGATCCTGAAGTTTGTACTCAAACAGTGAAAATGGTCAATTTACAATCGTTTTTCATTGCAGTTGGTACTGCTACCAATTTTACGTTTTTCCCGTAAGCACTTATCTTGCTGAAACAAAATTTTCGTAGATGCTCGGATAGTCTAAAAACTTGCATAGATCATGGTTCAGATATTATAAGCTCACTCTTCCTTCTTCATTACAGCAAGCGTGGCTAAGAAGTTGAAAGCAAAATTCGATCTAAAACACTTAATAAAAAGTAAAATCTATTACGCCCAAAGAGGCTTTTACTTAGCAATTTGTGTGTTACCTTTATTTATTAAATATCATGTTCTTCACGCTTAAACATAAAATTCAGTTCAACAGCAAAGTCGCAAAATAATTTAAAAAGAGCATATCTTTAGAATTTTCGATACACAGTCTCGCGCGCTGGAGATGAAAAAAAAAATTTTTTTTTTCGTACAGAGTTGCCATTTATTGTTTTGTAATCGTTGAGTTTGTTAATCAAAAATTCGTTAGTTTTACAAAATAGGAAATCGATAATAAAACAAATTTCAAATTTGGGCTTCCAGATGCCACATTCGGGTGGAGACGTACGTTATTCAAAATTTGAGGGTTCTAGGTACCATCGTTTTTCCACAATGCGAGAAACAAACATTCATTTATGAAGATTCTTCATTATTTAATTTCTTTAAATATAATACGGGGCTCTACTATTTGGTGGCAACAACTTGAAAAGAAAAACGCCGTTTTAAGTGAAACGCCACATAATGCCAAAACGAAATTAATAGCTCTTCTGGGCTAACGTCCTTTGGTCTAAAAATTATGAAACGTCTTACAAATCTCATTGCACAGAGCAACTCTTTTTCTTCTGTTACAATTGACTATACGAAATTGCCTCACGAAAGCAAATCAATGCATTATCATAAATCTTATAGTTCCTTTGCAAATATTTGCATCATTTGTAGTTATGTAAAAGAACCAAAACTTCTTCGGAAGCATATTTTATTCTCGTTGACTTGCATAGTTGTATGCAACGATAGATTTTTGGTAATAAATATGTACGATATTCTTTCGGTTCTAGATGATGACGGTCAACTGCGCACCAATAGTACGCAAAGATCAGCAAGCCACAAATGGCATCGTCCATCTCATCGATCAGGTTCTAGTTCCACCATCCAATCCTGCAGGACGGCCCACTATCCCAGAAGCCCTTTTCAATGATGGTCGTTTTAGAGAGATGTCACGGATCATGCTGCAATCGAACTATGTGAACGACCTGCGGCGAGGTGGACCATTTACCCTTCTTGCGCCAACGGATGAAGCATTCCAGAGCATAAGCGCCCTGGAGTTAGACCGAATAACAAACGATCCTGATGCAAGATTAGGTAAGAATTCGCTTTTGAGCATTATATTACCTTTATTTTTGGAGTTTAACGAATTTAGTATTGTTTTGTTGTGAAGATAAGTATAGATAAGGATAGATATGATCATTTTTATGGCAATGTTATGAAGAAATGAAGTAGAACATATACGGGCACAGTTAAAAATTTGAAGAGGGTTTATTGCAATTTATTTAGATATCTTAAGGTATCTATCTGCCTACGTTAAAAAAACGATTTCGGTGAAAAAATTCGATTTTTTTTAATTGCTCAATTTGAAAGGTCAGTTTTGTAGGATTCCGAAAATGGTTCATTTTTACGTTTGTGATAATTAGAAGAGAAGGTATAGCCATTAAACTGCACTGGAAGTGAAAGCAGAAAGACCGGAAGTGCCATTTAAAAGGCTCAACTTAAAGGTAAACAATGTTGCTATCCGTGTTTTTTTTTTTTTTTTTTTTTTTTTTTTACCTGTTTGTGTGTAAACTTGTGCTAAAACATTTCATTTTAATTCTGGATACTTTTTTTTTTTTTTTTTTTGTTTTGTTTCTGGTAATAATTATTTGCCTTAATTTTTGGAACTGGGACTGGCAACATTGCGGTTTTTTGAACTGTGTCTGGCAACATTGCGATTAGGTATAAAGACTATGTTGCTGGGTGCATATAGTATAGCAGTTTTAATTTTTAATTCAGGGTATCTTGGATTACTTCCTGTGTTTGAACATTTAGGCATATCAATTGAACAAGAAATGATTAAAAATTACTTTGGAATTGATAACGAAAGAATAAAGAACTCGAAACGTCATTCGTCGCTCACTTCGAAAGTAGCCAGAAAAAAATTAAAATCAAATAGAAAATCAAAATTACTTAAGTATAAAGATATGGAGGGTGTGATGTATAAATGTGGAGAATTTTAAGTGTGTAAATACAACAGAACAGTTTTTCTGTTGATGTGAAATCTTTAAATGCGTTTTCTGGAAAACTAATTTTTCTAGTGTTTTTACATACAAGAAATGTAATTACTCAAAATGTTTTAAAGGTATCTCTATTAAATTTCACTAAAGTATTTTCTATATTATTTACTAGGTTTTAAGCTACAATCTAAGTTATATTTATTAATTTGATTGTTTTATAAGTATTTCTATATAAAACGATAAGAAATATTTTACAAAAAACTGTGTTTCTTCATGTAATTACACATATTTCAGTTAATTTTAGAAATATCATAAACATTTTAGTTCATAACACAGATGAGTGTTGTAGTAGTATACAGTATAAATAAAATTGAAATTTATGCTGTGGGAAAAAATATGCGAAATTTAACGTAAGTGTTAAATTCTCCTAAAAATGTGCATAAAATTGCATATATTTCAAAAATTTATGAAAATATTCCTAAAAATTTACCTATTTTCATGATATGATATCATATTTTGACTAAATAAATATATATTTCATCAGAATCCTATGTTTTAAAAGAAAAGTGCTCCGAACGTAGGCAGATACCTTAAGAATTATTGGATTTGCCAAATTTTACTTATAATATGCGGTTTAAGTTTTCCTGAATACAGAAATTTGGCACGATCATCGCCAAAGAAAGAAAATCATACGGGGAAGAACATCCCTGTTTCCCTTTCGATGCATGGTGTTATGACATGTTGCTCAAGCCAAAACTGAGCTTCAGGCATGACCTGTGTCTCATCCTGCAATACAAAATTTTTATATAGGACCGCAAAATTCCATAAATTATTATAGAAATTATCTTTCTAATACAGTTTCGTAGTTATGAATATGTTTAGTGCTGGCATATATTTGTCACATCCTCTCGTATATTTTGTAAGAATCTTTGTAGTAAAGAAGTCTCTTTTACTACAAAGATAAAAAATAATGTGGACACCACATGGCTTCTTTGAACGGCCTATTCAATTATACACATTTTTTGCTGCACTTCAAATAAAGTTATTTCCTCGAACTTCATTAGAGTTCTATTTCTCGTTCATTAATTTCAGTTCTCACATTGTGGTAAGGCAAAATTGTAAAATGCAGAAAAACATTAAACACAAAATACAGTTAAATGCAGTTAAAAAAAATTTTTTTTTTCCGATTAAAATTAGAGTTTGTACTTTAAAACAATGGGCGAGAAGTAAATTTTTTGGTGCACAAAAATTTATAAAGTTAACTTTCAGTCTCAGCGGGCAAAAAGCCACTGAAGTTGATGCAACATCTAACTTAATTCACTGCACAACAAAGAGTTTCAAATATAAACAAACAGCGCCGCGTTAGGCGTAACCGCCATTTACACTTTTAAGTTAATAATAATTCTGCAAATATTGCATGCAGATTAACTTAAAACATAAAAACCTTAACCGGAACATAATAACAGAATAATTTAGTCACTTGTAAAGCAAAAAAAAAAATGGGCAGTTTAACCAACATATAAGAATAAAAACACAGATCCGGGACAAAAGGGTATATGTATATACGTTTTGTGCTGCCGATTACTACAAAAAAGGGGGATGTACAACTACATGTTATAGCAGTTCCATGTACAAAATGCCAGTTCTCTACGGCTAATCATTTTTGAGTTACGCGTGATGCATATATACATTTGTACAGATGTCACGAAAAAAAATCACTTCAAAGCTATTTGAAATCTATTTTAGAATCCGTTTTGTAAAGCGTAATCCTTTATTCTATCCGTACGTACACATATCACGCAAAAATTCGTACAAGTGAATTCGAGGGCGATCAAAATGTATATTTTCATTGAAATATGATACCCTAAGTATTCCGTGATTACACTATTTCCTTTAACTTGGTACAAGACAGCAAAAATATTCTGCGGAAGAAATAATGCTTGGAGAATTTGATATTTGAATTTGCCTAGTTTTAAATTTAACGTGCTTCTTTTACATCAATTTATAAGTGCGCAATTCTTTTCGTAAAATATAATAGACGATGACGCTAATTACAAAATTAAAAATAAAAAAAATCTAAATAATAAGTGTGATTTCATCAATCTTATCTAAGGTTAGCGGTCTGATCTAATTAATCTTATTTAATGATTTAATCTTATTAAAGATTAATCTTATCTAATGATCTAATCTTATCAAAGATTAATTTTATCTAAAGGTCAGCGCTCTCTTCTATGTTGCCTGTCTCCACACAGGAGTCTTATTTGCATGCTTTTACATCTTTAGGAGTAATTAGATAGTAAACTAGTACTGCTTTAAACTGGATGCTTCAAACTTTTATGATTATTTTACAGCGTTGATGAAGAATCATATCATTCCCCACACTGTTTGCATACCCGCTGTCATCGACACACATAAGATGAAGAATGTAGATGGAGGAAGACTAGAGTTATCGTGCAATAAGTCTGGAGTTTATGTCAACGATGGCAAGGTCAGTTCTGAGCAAATCATTGCACAGAATGGTGTCATCAGCATTGTCTCCAAAGTTCTCGTCCCAGACAGAGGTAAGTTTTCAATGCAAACGCACTTTCATAATTCAATTGTAACATTTTTCTCGCAGAGGGGAATATACTTTTCAGGGCGGAGTGGAGACTATAAAGATTTATTGCATTCGTCTTCACATGATTTTGTGGTGTAAAACTGTTAACACATTCAGTTATCAGTCTGAAGATCCGTTATCGGAATCCATGGAAAAACGCAATTGAATTTTTCACGGTTCTTGCTCTAAAATTTTAATAGTCTTTAAAGTATTTATAGTGAAACCAAATAGCCTCGATAAGTTTCAGCGAAATAAGCCTCGATTTATTTTTATCTTAGTTAGGATGTAGGGTTTATATTTACTTTAACTAACATTTATTTTAAGTTTAAACTATCTTTCCTGTCAAGCCTTACTTTCCCCTGGAATTGCCAATACCAGAGTATGTAAATTTGAGTAGAACGCGCAAAGTATTCAAAATTGTCAGCGGAAGTAATCTGAGTTAAATAGAAGGGAAACGAGTTCGAATGTGTGCTTTCTTGCTTCACGAGCGTGGAGATGGCTAGGTAGAAATTGAAGAACCACGCGTTTCGGCCTGTGTGCTTGCCTCGGCAGATAGTTAAATCTTTCAACGTAATATTCAGAAGTTTGCTGAATTGTCAGCGGTATCTTAGAACGTGGTTAGGTTAGTTACGTTTTAGAGAGCCTCGTAGGTAGTCACTTGTTATTATTTTTCATTTTAGTTTCTTATTTTTATTTTACCGCCGGGTCGGCGTAGTTTGTGAGCGTCAAGAGCACGCATCTGTAATTTCTAAAGTTGAATAAAAAGGGATTTAAACCCTTCTCAAGACTTTGTATACTTTCCAGTTCATAGCAGTCACCACTATTGTTGCGTGCAGGTTGGGAGCGCGCAACATTACAAGGAAAGGAAAAGTTTATGCAAACCGCAACCATGAATGAAGCTTTGAAGAAATGGAAAGAATTCCAAAACACATCTTAATAAGTTACATACAAATCACACTTGGAGCATAACCTTGGTTTCAGTAGAGTATTTTAGCATAATTAAATTTACAAAGAGGTATTATGTTTTCAATATGTTTCCTAAATATTTAGAGACAAATTTTACTTCTTTGGTCCTGTAGCAAAATTTTAACTTGATTTTAAAAGTTCGTTAATTTTTGTATACCAGTGTAATTAACTATAGGATTTTTCAAATTTTGAAAGCGCTAAAGTTTGTTTAATTGATATCACTATGAAATGTCCTTTCATCTTGTTTTCAGTTTAATGTTTTAATTGGAATCTATAGTCCTTAGTGTAAGATATATTTTCAAAATTGAGATGTATTTAATGCTTTAGTTGACTCCATTTCGAATTTGAAAACAACTTAAAAAGGACTTTACTTTGTGTTAAGTAACAGGTACTTTACAGTACCTGTTACTTAACACAATAATTCACTGATTTCTAAATAAAAGAATTTTTAATACGTTATTTACAAAAATTAGTGCAATGTTTTAACATTTTAACGCTAGTGCAGATACTTAAAAATCAATACTAAACTGCCAAGTCATTTCAAATGATCACTCTACATATGACTGCCAATTTTCTGAAGACAAAATACGAATTTGCTTTAAATCGTTTTCTGCCTTTTAGCTGACTTCCATGAATGGCAGAAGACTAAACTCCAATACTGAAATATTTGCATGAGCAGTGCCAATTAATTGGAGACTCTTGTTGAAAGGCATCAACTCAGATAATGCATACTTTACACCCCTATATATATCTATAGGAATAAAATTGCGATGAAGTGCTAGAATGATATTAAAATGAATATAAAGCTGAAATACAATTAAAAATTGTGATTTATTATCGTGGATCCTTTACGTATATCTGATTGTTACAGGAAAAGCAAATGCTTCTGAGCAAGCAAATACTATAGCAACAGAAAGGTATTCTTGATTCCCCACGCTTTAAAGCAGCATTTTTCGTTTCTCCCCATAAAACTGATCATATGTTTCTTTCAAACTTGAGAGTACTAACTAATTGGTTATATTTGCTCTCAAATGCTGAAATACACTTACCTGCACCTGCAAAAATTAATGGCGAGGTGAAGAAATTAGCATAAAAGTGGAACAAGGCAACAGAACGGACTGAAGAATAATCAGGAAATAGTCTTGGGACTAGTACAGTAGAACATGCACATATATGGTATAGGGCGTAGGGGCAGGAGTATTGTCGAAATGATAATTTATTTTGGTTATATTTGCTCTCAAATATAACCGAAATTATTCTAAATTGCACACGGACAACCTTCATTCAACTATTCGCTGAAAGTTATTGAATGATGTATAGTGATTTTAGTAATGCGTGATATGGTCAACAGGGGATCGTTGGGAAGTTGCAAAAAGATCGAAGTGTGACGGGGAAGTTCGGGATTGCTCAAAGCGTCGTTTCACGAGCTTCGACAGAATTTCGAACGGCAGGAGGAAAGCTGCCCAAATATCCATCAGCTGCCGCCCACGACCAACGACGGTGGCGGACGATCAGTATATTATCCTACAAGGGAGAAGAAACAGGCAGTATATAGTAGAAGAAATCTCAAGGCAACAAACAGTCTACTGGACTTTCGATGTCAAATTTCGCAGTTGGCCAGGCGACTGTACAAGCGTGGTACAAGGTACGACAACCAGTACGAAGTGTGCCATTAATGGGAAGTTTCCTGTGGTGCCGGGAATACGAGAACTAGACAAAAAGGAGTGAGGTTGAGTGCTCTTCGTGGATGAGAACCGATAGAGAGAAGAACGATTCTGGATTTATACACGTCTGGTGTGGTGTATTTAATTATGGCAAAGCACACTAGGGCTATCTGCCTAAGGGGAGGGATGCCTTCGTGGAGGACTTTCTAAGGGGAACTGGCTCGTATACACGTTACACATGAGGAAAACCACGAAAACACCCATGCAGCCAGCCCGTTCGCGGGATTCGAACCTCGGACCGAACTACCAGTGTTCAGCGACTTTACCGCTCGGCCGCTAGTGGGCTTTATACACATCTGGAAACTGATTTATACACGCAGTTACCTCTCCGACATCATCGAAAAGGACCGTTCTGGAGGTGCCAGAGTTCTCGTTTGAGGTGGAATCCTGCTTTATAGCCGTTCTTACATGCAACATCTTCCAAGGAGGTTCAATCACTAGTGTCCGCTTTGCACTGAGGTCCTATTGCATTGCATGCGTTTGTTTAGCTGAACTTCCTTTTCATGGACGATAATGCTACACCTTCTTACACTAGCGGTCGCAGTGCTCTTGGAGAGTGAATATATTCAAAGCAAGGATTGGTCTGCGAGGTCTAAGGACATAAATCCGATAGAATACGTGCCGTCAGCAACGATTCCGTACCTGTGATTGACGCAACAATATGAATGGGCCTCGATGCCTCAACAGCTACTTGAGAATACTGTCCTCATTTCAGTCCTTGTGCTTGTCTCGTCTTTGTGTAGATATTTTATTTCGCAAAATTTCAGTACTGAATTCTAAATTTCGATTAGTTAAATTTTATGAGGAATCAATACTAAAAGTCCCTGTACTTTGTTATCCTTTTTACTTTTATACTTTTTATTATTTAATGTATATATATATGAAATGTAATTTCTCATACATTATTTGTTTTGTGCAGCCGGGGCAACAGGAATGAGACAAATTTTGGAATATAAAGTGGTAGGTTCATTTTAGCATCCATCTCACAAGCGTTTTTTATCGTACCTTGAGCAGAAGCCCTATTTATACATATGTGTGCGTCACGAGGCTCATCCAATCAGCGATATTAATTGAAATCACGAGGTGACGCTATCTTCTCATCAGGAGTGTTCTTAAGGACTTTATGTAATATGACAGATTTATGAGTTTGGCGATTTGGCGGGCACCAATATGTTAATATATTTTATACTAAAGAAAGGATTTCGCCAAAATTTAGGAACAGGGATGCAATTTAGGTAGAGCATCGCCAACACATTATTAAGCAATATTATTAGAATTTAATTTAATCAATTGATTTAAAAATATCATTACATATATATATATATATATATATATATATTTCATCTAAATTATCAAAATAATAAATTTCTGATTAATAAATACGAAAAGTGCTCTCAAAAATAAATTCACAAAACTCTACCGTTCTTCACCACTTTTCGTATCATGTCCGTTTTCTAAATATTTTTGTGCCACATTTTTTATCCCGAGATTTTCTTGAAATTTCCGATATCCGCAAACATCTTTCATTCTAATTTCAGTTTTTCCTTATTTTTTACTTGCTCCTAGTTCCTCCTACTTGAACAAATGATATTTTTTCATCATCCTTTTATTTCTTAACAGATGAATTTGCATGTTACATCTCACACTTTTACAGATACTCATTTCTAGTTTTCTTGTCAGTTGTTGAATAAGAAAAAAACTTTTTTTTTTTTTTTTTTTTTTTTTCATTTGTAATGAATATTTTTTCTTAACGCCAGCTCGGAGTGTAATGGCCTTGCTGGAAGCAAGACCTGAACTTGTTTCAACTTTCTCTCGTTTGCTCAAGAAGTCAGGAGTGGAAGCGTACTTGGAAAAACCGAACATCACGGTCACAGTGTTTGCGCCTTCTAATTATGCATTCAATCAAATGCCAGAGGAGGACTTCACTCTTATAAATGATAACCAGGAGTAAGTAAATTCTTTTTTCTTTCAGTGCAGAGAAAAAGTATTTCAAGTGTACGATAATTGTTGTCATTTATAAATTTATAATTTGCAATGAGAGTCTCAAACATGAATTTTAATTGTAAGTTTTTACATTCAGCTTATAAATTTTAAAAAAAAAAAAAAAAAAAAAAAAAAAAATAGAAAATAAAAAAAAATTTACATTACGCCCAAAGGGGCGTTTTTTTAACGTATTGTGTGTTATGTTCATCTATTAAATATCCTGTTCTTCGCACTTAAATCTCATAAAATTTAATTCAACAGCAGTATCACAAAATATTTAAAAACAGCATATCTTTAGAATTTCTGATACAAAGTCTCCAGCCCTGGAGATAAAAATGTTTTTGTTTCCGTACAGTGTTGCCATTTTCCGCTTTGAATTCGTTGAGTTTGTTAATTAAAAATTCGTTAAAGTTTTACAAAATATGAAATAGATATTAAAACAAATTCGAAATTCGGGCGTCCAGGTGCCCATATTAAAAACAGCATATCTTTAGAATTTCTGATACAAAGTCTCCAGCCCTGGAGATAAAAATGTTTTTGTTTCCGTACAGTGTTGCCATTTTTCGCTTTGAATTCGTTGAGTTTGTTAATTAAAAATTGTAATAAAAGTTTTACAAAATATGAAAGAGATATTAAAACAAATTCGAAATTCGGGCGTCCAGGTGGCCATATTTGGGTGGAGGATTACGTCATTCAAAACTGGATGGCTCTAGGTAATGCCATTTTTTCGCACTGCGAGAAACATACATACATTCATGCAGGTTATTCATTACTTAATTTCTTTAAGGCATATTTGGTGGCAATAATTTGAAGAGTGAAACGGGCATTTATAGTGAAACAACGCAAAATGCCGCTTCGAAACTAATAGCCCCTTGGGCTAAAAAAGGCAAAATGCATGCTGTAATTTATTAAGTAGATTACCGTGTTCCTAAGTATTTTTTTTTTTTTTTAAATGGTGTGTTTCAAGTGCACAAAATCTGCTTTTTGTCAACAGCGCCTACTGCCTAATGCGTGGAACTTAACAATGATTGTGTTTTTTCTAATGTTTTTCTTTTTCAAGGTCTTCTTTACCTTCCGAAATTTTCGAGAATATCTAGTTACTAGAAACAATTGCTTTCGCAGTAGAAAAAAATCTGATGTGTATACCACATAACTTCCTTGTACGGAATATTAAATTATAGGCACTTTTTCTTGCATTTCATTTAAACTTATTGGATTGAATTAAATCTACTTCGTCAATAGCTCATAAACCACAAACCAACATATGCACTCTTAAAAGTTCCCTATCTTTATTTACCATAGCGACGCTCTGGCGCTAGGTTCACTTAACAGCGTTATATTTCGTTCATATTATAACTCAGAACGCACAAAATTTATAACTTTTGAAGAATTATCGAATCGTTGCCACATGTTCTATTCAAATACTATAATAAATCTAAAGCGAATAAAAGAAATTAAGCAAATAAACGAAACAATTTTTTTTTTCACAGACGATTCAGCATTTATCATTCAATTAATTCAGTTCTCACTTCGCGACAAGGCAAAAATACATAAAAACTCAAAATATCTATATTAAAAATTTCGAAGTAAATCTGAAACACTTATTTCCTCGAATAAATCCCAGAATGGATTAAGCATGATTTAACTCCCAATAATAAAATAAAGCGTTATTTTTGTTGTTGCGAAGATAAGTTTCTCTAGATTGGCAACAAATCCGCTTTTTTGCCAAGTTTTAAATGTAAACAAACATGGCCACCATGGCAAAAATGTTTAGGCTTAGCCGCACTTAAACAACTTTTAAATTGTTGATACCTCTACAAATATCAAAGGCAGATTTACTAAAGATTACATAAAAACATTAACCGGAAGATAAGAACAACATAATTCTATCATTTTTAAAGCAAAAAATGGACAATTTACAAACATATAAGCGTAAAGAAACTGAGATCACTGAGCCCGGTAACAAAATGGATATATATATATTTATATACTTTTGGTGCTGCCGATTCCAACCAAAATACGAGGTGCACATCTACATGTTATAGCAGTCCCCCTATATACAAACTTTCAACGTTCTGAGACTACTTGTTTTTGAGTTATGCGAGATACATACGTACGTCAGACGCCACTAAAAATTCTCTTTAGAATTCATTTTAAAGCAGTTTTATAATTTTTTAGAGAAAAGAGTCTTTTATTCTGTCCTTATGTACAGATGTCATGCAAAAACATTATTAAATTGCATTCGATAGCGATCAAAATGGATATTTTCGTTGAAATATACTGCCTGAAACTTTTCGCGATTACAAATACTTCCTTTTTACTTCGTAAAAGGAAGTAAAAATGAGGTAAGAAATTGATGTAAAATAAAAATAGAAAATATTTAGTTTTATGTTTACTTAATTTTATAGTTACATTGAAAATGTAGTAATATTTGCTTCTAAATGTTCTTATTAAATAATTAAATAACGTTCTTATTACATAATTAAAATCTTTCTTATTAAATAACCGAATAGCATTCTTATTAAGTAGTTAAATAACATTCTTATTAAATAATTTTAACACATTTTTAAAGTTTACTGATTTATCTACTCCATAGGTTTTTGTGTTTAAAGACATAAATACATTCCCGAATCGGAGAATTTCTCGCTTACGTTGGCTTTGATTTATCTAAAATCATCAATTTTGCAGAAGTTTGATTTTCGAGGTTATTTTGTGATGTGCCTCTGAGGCGTTAAATATGAGACTCCATAATCATGGTAAAAGGACATTATACCATTGATCCACACAAACATTATAGCATTGATCGATACGTAATTTGCTTTATGAAATTTCATTCTACATTTAAGTAGAATATCCTTCTTAGTTCTGTGTGATACTAAGTAAATTAGATTGAATTCGATTAGACCTTGCGATAAAATTGCTGTTTTTTAAAACAGTTGCTGATCTTGTGATGTCACTTCATTTCATAACTTCAGTCAAAACTCCTCGCATGAAAACATTGAACTTAATTCCGTAATCTGAGTTTTTTTTTTTTTCTTTTTTCAAATCATTTAATATACATTTCATGTATTTCATTTAATTGATTCCATTTTACTTTATAATAGCCGAATCAGGAGCTAAAAATGCGTTATACAGTTTGAAAAAAAAATAGCTTTCAGTTCTCGGTAGTCGTAATATTTCAAATAAGCGGGTTTTTTTTTTTTTTTTTTTTTTTTTTTTTTTTTTTGTGTGTGTGTGTGTGTGTGTTCCTTATATTCAGTTAAATTCTTGAAACTTTTAAGAATTTCTCTTGAGACTTTTTTTTTAAGATTCGAAATTCTTAATTTTCTTATGAATTTCGAGATTTTTAGCAACAGGATTCTCGTGTACAATTGCTAGAACCTTGCTTTTAGGTGTAGATTCTTGACAACAGAGAAGGATAAAATTGCATGGATATTTGTGCGGTTTTCTTCCTGTATAACATAAAGAAGAACCAGTGCCTCTTAGAAAATTCCCAATAAATTTATAAATTCCTTAAATATACCTAAAGGTTTTAGCATAAGTAGATAACGCAATCAAAAGTCTTTGCAGAATTACTGGTTTACGTCTTTAGAGAGGAGAGAATAACTTTTTTTTTTTTTTTTTTTTTTTTTCGGAAGTCACTGGCAAAGACAGGTTAGAGCGTTTTGCAGATTGAGACGTTACCGCATTTTGATATATGCTTTACTGGCAAAGTGGTACTTTATACGTGTTTTACCATCAAAATTGACCGATATATTTAATTTAAAAGTTTGAAATCATGTTCATTTTTTAAATCGCAAGGTTAAATTTGTACATCATAAAAAATGAAATATAGGTTTAGAGCAAAGTTTCTGATGTTAGCAGATCACGTGACTAACATTAATAAGCAGAGTGTCGAGGAAAGTGTTATTGTCGAGGAAAGTGTTATTCTTCCTCAAGTGTTATCATCAATAACACTTGAGGAAGAATCAAGACACAACTTATTCACCAGTATTACATGGGAGAGTTCCAAAGACACATTTATAGTCGCCTAAAAACTACGATAAACACTCTGAAACAATAAGCAACACAGTCTTCAAACTACTACAGTGAAGACAGCTTTAAAGCAAATCACTAAAGTACAGCTCCCGACTCGATTTGGTCGCTCTCAAGCTAATCTCTGAACTCAAAACACTACGACTCAACACAACATTCTCTCCTACTCCCCGTACAGGCAGGATATATATAGCTTTGACCTGCCTTCGAGAACATTCTCGCAGCAGCAGCTAAGAATGCGTTTTAGAATGTTCTCCCTCAGTCTATGGCATATCGCCAATTTTGTCGGCAGATGTCGCCAAATGGGCAATTTCTCTCCAAATCTGGTAACCCTGTCTTTCCCTGCCACCTTCTAACCTAACCTCGCTTTGCGAGGAAACTATCTTACCGCAGCTGGGCATTTCGCAACATTATAAATTAAATTACATCCTATTAAATTAAAAAGGAACATTATTCAGGGACCTTAAATAAAATAAAAAGTCAAATTTCAATCATAGAAAGTTATTTTTTAACCAACTGTTCAAATAGGGCGATTTGTTCTCTTCTGGCCCTGAAGCTATTTAAAAATCGCAAACTTTAAATTCCTCAATCAATTTTATGGAGTCAAATAAGGTTTTATTTCTTTAGTATAAGTATACACTTTTACAAATTATTAGTATGTAGACTGCGAGAGCGTGTAAAAAGTTAGATTTGGGGTTTTTTTTTATTAAACTGATCTTTTTAAGTTATAATTACCATGGCATGAAAGTTGCGATTGACCGTGGATTTTCTCCCGTGATTATTGATAAAGCCGTTAAAAAGTTTTCAGATTCCCATTAAAGAAGTCATTCCACTGTTATAAATAATATTAATGACCTTGTCGTGCTTCCATTTTATCCTTCTGTTAGCTATAAAATTGCACGGATTCTCCAGAAATTCAATTTTTCAAG